ACTTCTCCTTTATTTAAATATCTCCGTGTTGCTGTTAGAGGCTTTTCACGGAGGTGATCCATACTCCACGACCTCCTAAACTGCACTGATGAGATCACAAGAATACGCCCTTTGGAGGATTTGATTGACAGTTTCTTTTTAGCCAATTGGAAACCCCAAAGCTGCTGATTGGACAAGTAAGCACCACTAACAGGCCTTCCTACTTGACCAAGTTTACCTTTTTTTCTCCACATTATTGTGTAACACACCACTGGGGGACGCTGTATGCTTGTATTGGACGGCCAAATTCAGCGATGAAAGCTCAATGCTCCTGCACACCCAGTTATCTAATGAGGATGGATTTATGCTGGAAAGCTCATAGCAAAAGGCAGCAGAACAAAAGGTTTTACTAGGAGGAGGATTCACACTGGAGCTTTCTTCTGATGCACTGTTGTTTCAGATACCATTTCATCCCCAAGGCAGGCTTATGTAACATTGGGCGCATTTGTTCATGAAATTTACTTATGCATGCTGCAACAGCACCATAAGAATGAAACACAGATACAGGGAGGCCTAAAGTAAAAGCAGTACACGGTGATGTGTCACAGTCCTGAGAATTAATACCTCAGTTTCATTTTCAATGAGAGAACACAGGGGAGGCCCCGGGGATGTGATTAAAAGTGGTTTCAGTGAAAAAGCTGGCAGATGCCTGCATGGAAGATGAATGTGGTGTGTATCGTTTTTAGAAAAGGAGCTTATTGATCAGAGTCTCAGTGGGGTACAGGACACAGGTCTTATGGAGGTTCCAAATCAATGAACACATATGCCCCATTCAACTCCCAGTGCAGTGGAAACTTAACATGGAGGACTGACTGTTGGTCTGGTCATCAGGAACTGCAGGTTCTTCATGGTAAGCTATTTTTTTTCTGTGAGTGTTCTCAACAACTAAACACCATTTACTTTCTTTGCTCTCAGCAGCTCTCACTTCCCTCTTTCCTCACCAAGTCATTAGATAAACTTTATCTCCTTGTCTTCTGAACTGTAATGAGCTTCCATACTTTTTGGTAAATTAGAAAACTGTATTTTTTCTTTATTAATGGTTAATAATTGACTGACTTGCTTTATAGATCAATAATAAGCCATTTTTTGGGACAGTTATTGGGTTGCCATTTGGCTGGCGTATATTTTTTATAAGCCATCAAGTCTGCAGTGTTAAATGTTAATGGGTCATTAATAAGATGTTTTATCACAGTATTTAGTCACAGAATAATTTTCCAACATGGAAACCCAGACATTATTCTTATTAAAAACTTAGAACTGAACTAATAAGCATTTGTCAATGATGTATATTAATTTTTTTATACAGTTTTCACAGTTTTCCCAACATAACCACGTAAACCATGCATTACATCTTTATCTACAGTGGGTCACAGTGTGCTTTCCCTGTGAGTAGATCCAGAATCCAAGGCAAGACATGTGTTGGTTATCTGCCATATGACCTGCTGTTGCCCTCTGACCCCTTCCTGTCTGCTCTTTTGGGGTTTTAGTACTAGTTGCCATAGTAACCGAACAGCTAATAGGGTTGAGCTGTCACTGCAGCCGCGGGAATGGCAGTAATGCATGCAGTGAGGTCCTGTCTGGATTTACTGCTAGATCACTTTGGGTTTTCAGCTGGGTAACACAACTTGGCAATGTTTAAAACCGTAGACAATCATTTCTACATTCATTTTATACT